AGAGTCCCACATAATTCTTAGAGTTTCTTCATTTTTTAAATTCTTCTTTCTAATTTTTTCTCAAATAAGTTGGTGTCAAGTGCTTTATCTTCAGTCTCACTAATTCTGACTTCCATTGCCTCTATTTTGCTATTACTTTCTATTGAGTTGTCTAATTCTGAAGTTTTATTGTTAATCTTCTGGATTTCTGATTGCTGTCTCTCTATGGATTCTTGCAGCCTATTAAATTTGTCATTATGCTCTTGTCTTAGGCTGTGTTCTCTAGAGAGGCAAAACCAGTAAAGTGTATAAATATATATATGGAGAGAGATTTGTATCAAGGAACCAGCTCACGCGATTGTAGAGGCTACAACATCCCAAGGCCGTGGATCAGGGTAGAGGCCTCTCCCAAGTCACACAGCTGCAGAAGCTGGCGAGCCCAAGATCAGCAGGTCAGAGAGCAGGGCTCCGCTCCCAGGCTGTGATGATCGACGAATCCCACGTTTGGCAGATGAGCTGACAGCTCAAGTCTCAAGAACCGGAGATGAGACGACAGGAGGCAGCTGCAGGATCCAGAGTGAGGATAAATCCAGAACGTCTGCTTATATTCAGATGCAGACCACACCCCCAAGTTGACTCCCTTTCATCTGATTGGCTACTCACAGTATATTCAATCATGGTAGTTATCACGTTAAAACACTAAGAATCATGGCCCAACCAAGTTGACACACAGTCTTAACCATCACAGCTCTTGAATAACCTTCTTAAGATCCTATTTGCTTTGTCTGTATGTTCCTTAGCTTGTTCTCTGTTTGCCCGATGTTCTTCCTGATCTCTTAAAAGAGTTCTGCGTATTAATCTTTTGTATTCTACCTCTGGCAATTCCAAAAAATTCTCTTCCTCTGGAAAATTTCTTGATTCTTTACTTTGGGAGCTTGCTGAAGCCATCATGGTCTGCCTCTTTATGTGATTTGATATTGACTGTTGTCCCGAGCCATCAATAAGTTATTAGATTTATTTTATATTTGCTTATGGTGTCCTAGATTCTTGGTTTGTTTTGATATGCCCAAATAGGCTGCTGTGTGAGCTGGTTTGATTATTGACGCCTTTGAAGCTCTAACGTCCTGTCACCAGGTGGTTAGAGCTGTTAATAGGTATGTAAGCCCAGGAGTCTGTTTACTTTTCTTGTATGAATTCAGTTCAGGTGTCCAGGTAGTTGGTCATCAAGTGTGTGGTACAGGCTCTCTCCTACAGTCCTAGACAGGCATGGGTGATTGGTGTAGGCACATGTATCTGGCTGCAGTAGGGGGTCACGCGCTGAGCAAGTCATTGGGCTGACAGCTGCCCCTGAGTGTCTGGGAGGAACGTGTGTTCCTGTTCCCTAGAGCATGTAGGTGGGTGGGTTTTGTAGCTGCACTATGAGCACTCACTGCTGTTGTCTGTAAGGACTGGGGTTACCACTTATTCTTGGACCCTTGTTGCAGGTGGCTAGGTGGTGTGTTTGGAGCCACCAGTTCTCAGGCCCCTGATGTGGATAAATGAGGACCCTGCTTAATGGGCAGAGCAGTGTCAAATATCATGAACCTGCCACTTCACCATATAGCTGAAACCGTTGAAGTTAGACTTCAGGTATAACCCTGTTGTACTGTGGTAATGAGGTCCTGCACTGTTGAAATGGGGCCCACACAGGTCTGTGTAGGAGTGAAAGGCATTCAAAGTCCATGGACCCCTTATGCCTGTGCCTAGGCAAAGGAGCTATGCCTACCCTGAGTTCCTGGTGTAGGGGAGCCAGCAGATTATTTTTTCCCTGCTTGTTAATTTTTTTCCCTCTCCAAGGCTGGGAGAATGGCTCAGGGCGCATGACGGTTCCTACTTTGTCCCAGGGGACTTGGCAGTTGTCTGAAGCCGGCCCAGGACCCAGTGCAGAGCAGGGAGGGGGAGGTAAATTGGATAGAGGTTGTTTCCAAAGGGAGTGTTTTTTGATCCACGTGATAGGCCAGATGCAAGTACTTCTCTTTTCCAGTTGAGCACTGCTTTTCACTGGTTCTGGATGCCCGAGTAGACACTCTGCCTCTTGGTCTCTCCTGACATGGAAAACGCCTCCCAAGTACCACTGCTTGCCTCACCACACACTCAAGCCTATCCAGCCTGAAGGGTGCCATCTCCCATCAGGTCAGGTCTGGCAACTCCTTGCTGCTTCCGAACTGTCTCTCCCTCTCCCCTCTCAGTCCGATTCCTCAACTTTGCCTTTGATGTTCAGGGCTCCTAGATTGTCATATATTATCAATCCACTTGTTTTTTAGCGTCTTTGTTGTAAGAGGGACCATAGGAAGCATCTGACTATTCCACTATCTTGGCCCTGCTTCCTCCAGATTACCTTTCTTCACTCATGTTGTGATCTTGGTTCTTGGTCTGATGTGTGGTGATTTTTAGATTGTATACTGATCGTCTTGTCTATTATGTAGGAGAGACTGGATCCTATTTAAATCTTTTATTTTTTGCAGGCAGCCACTTTGTTTTAGCTTATCACACGTGTTCTTTCCTACGTTTGTGGCCTTGGATCCATTGGCAGTTTAATTTTCAGAGCCTTTGTGATATTATTTTGGTCTGCTTGGTTTATCTGGTACCACCACAAGGGTTCCTACTGGTCCTTGCTGGTGCTACCTGATGGTATAAAGTGTTTTCCCAGGCCACGCCATCAAGTGTCTCTTGCTAGGGAAAGGTAGTGTCAGGTCCAGATGGATGAGATGCTTCCTGAGCTGGGCCATTTGTTTTGGCTAGGTCCCTCATGCAGGAACTGCCTTCCCACCCTCTTGTCTCTTACTGGGGAAATTGAGTCCCAGGCCTTGATAGGTATACATCCCTCTTGCTAGTTCTGTGCATACACCTTGGTAGCTTTCGGCTGGGGTTTGGGAGTCTTAGCCCACTTTGGAAAGAGAATACTTCTCCTGGCCACTTTCTCTAGTCAGGAGTCCAGATAAATCCCCTTTGCTGGTGGTGCTGGTCTTGCCTGATATTGTCATAGGGACCCCCATTTCATCCAGGGGATGAATGAACCCACCTGGACTGTATTCTGTTGTTAGGTTAGGGGTTGGGAAACATTGAATCTGAGTCACCTTCTTCTGTTGGGTGCTGGCATATTCTTCTTCTAGTCCTGGTGTCCCAAAGCAGTTTGCCTCCTTGCTACCACTTCTGGAGTTCTCCTTTATTTTGTCTTGCATTATTTCTTGGGTTTGTGGTTGTGCTTAGCAAGGAGGAGCAGGAAGAAATGTATCTGTGCCATCTTCTCTAGACAGACTAGAAATTACTTGTTTATATATTTTTAAAAAATTAGTTATTGTATGTTCTCTCCAATCCTGTGGTTTTCTTGCTCTGGGACAGAGATGGTTGATTCTTCTGTTTATTCCAACAGGGTTAAAACTCCAAAATGACACTGGAAATAATTGGACTACATCTCTTTATGAGGTAGAAATACAAGCGCCAGGAGGCAGAGTATCAAAAAAGGCCAAAGTGAAAGCTCCACAGAAAACAACTGGTAAAGAAAATCATGGTGATACAAGCACGGTGAGGAAACGGCATCAGAATTTTCCAGGGAAGAAAAGGAAGAAACATTCGACGTGTAAACAAGAGGTGCCAAAATGTACAGATCTTCACAACAAAGGCCACTCAGGGGAGAAACCTTTTAAATGCCAGCATTGTGGGAAAAGCTTCAGAGTGATGTCTGACCTTATTAATCACCAGAGAATTCACACTGAAGAGAAACGCTATAAATGTCAACAGTGTGATAGGAGGTTTAGATGGAGTTCAGATCTTAGTAAGCACTTAATGACACACCAAGGAATAAAGCCACATAAATGTTCATGGTGTGGGAAAAGCTTCAGTCATAACACAAATCTCCACACACACCAAAGAATCCACACAGGAGAGAAACCCTTTAAATGTCATGAATGTGGAAAAAGATTCATTCAGAACTCCCATCTCATTAAACACCAGAGGACCCACACAGGTGAGCAGCCCTATTCTTGTATCATATGCAAGAGAAACTTTAGCAGGCGTTCAAGCCTTCTGAGACACCAGAAACTCCACAGTGCAAGGGAAGCTTGTCCCGTGTCCCCAGTGTGAATAAAGTCACTATATGTAGCTTGACCCTAGAAAGGGTAAAGTAATATAAAATCATAAATCATCAATGATAGGACTCTCATCACTGGGAAATTTAGGAGGGCTAATGCCATGCTTCACTGATAGGAACCCAAGTTGTGTGTCTCATTCAGCATTGTATCATCAGTGCCTAGAACAAGAATGATACATATTAAGGCCTTTATAAATAAATGGATGAAAGCATATCTGTCAGATATCTATATATGTATACCTTATCTGTATGTACATATATCCACCCATCCATATCTGAATACTCAGAGGTTTCTCATGCTCAGTGATCTACATTTTTAAGGTATCAGGTCCTTGGTAAATATATGATAGCCATCAAGACCTCATCTTGTTCTCTGCCAGGAGAGATGAAAGAGTATTCAGGTCCCCTGAAGGGAGTTCAGAGGGAATTACTATGTTGGGGGCAGTTTCTATGGCTATCTTTCTATCTACATTAACAGTCAAGGCCAGTGTGTAGGGAATTTTAGTCTGGAACAGGAAGAGAATATTCCCTTTTTGGTCCAGGAGAAGCACCTCCTCTCTATTTGCCTCTCCCTCCAGCATCTGTCCCCGTAATATCTGCTATACAGGAATTCCAAGCAGCAAAGGCCTGAATGCTAAGGCAGATCTAGAGACCTTGTAAGCACTTGATGTAGCTCTTTCCACTGATCCTCTCAACACTGAGATATAGAAAGAAATGATGAGAGAGGAAGTCTGAGCCCTCATCCAGGTATCCATCTCTTTGTAGAAGGTGCAGAACAGTGGTAAATGGCCTTTCTTTGACTTGCATTATATGGACTGGAGGCTTTGAAATTGGTACCACACTCCTCCAGGTCTGAAAGGGGGCCCATTTTTATGGCAGTTCAGCCAGTGTTCCGTATACCTGACTGCTCTGTGGAAAGATCTGAAGGTTCTTCAAAACTGTTTATTGAGAATGGCAAGGATAGCTGTGTGGCACTGTAGCCTCAGTAGACATCTGATAGCAGGAGGAAACTTTCAGAAGTGTCAGAGCAAATGAAAGCATTTGGCCTAGAGTGATAGCACAGTCAAAGCCAGGATAGAGGGAAACTGTTTTATGTTGTTGGTGGCTTTCTTCTCTTCCCCATCCACTTCAGTGGCTATCTCCTATGAAAAATCAATGCGGTATTAAGGAAAGAGCAGGGAAGTTGGAACACATGGATATATATTTGCTCTGTGAGTTTTGCATTTATGGTCAAGAGTTTTATTTATTATTTCATAAAGTTTAACTTTTATAAAAGTGACATGTTTTATAATAAACATAAAACTGTGTTATCAAATTGCTCAGTGATGGCCCATGTTTACTTTCTTGGAGTAAATGTCTTCATGTTTTTTTCTACCATGAGACCTCTCTAAGACTATTTTCAGGTCTATAAAATGGGGACAATATTTAACTACCTCTCGGGGCTGTCTCCCACATTGACTGGCCACAGTAGGTGTTCCATAAACATTTGTAACATTCTTTATCTTTCAGGTAGTTATTAAAAAGAAACCATGTCTACTTGTCCAGCTTCCAAGCAGCCTTGATAAATGGATTTTCCATCATTTCTGGCTGGTTTTTATACCTGTTAATGATGGTCAGAAATTTTTTTTTCCTCCTCCTTTGATTAGATGAATAAGGTAGCCTTCTGGCATTACATTCCTTTCTGGTAGTTGCTCCTCTCTAGTCAGTAATCAACAAAAACCATTGTCCGCATTCAGCTAGGTGGTCTACTAATGAGCAACTGAACTGCACTGCACTAAAGACCGCCAATTTGAGACGCCTTGAAAAGGAGGGCAGGCGATGCCTGGCAGTGCAGTTTTCTGCACAGTGTTTATACTATTAGGTGGGTTCTCAAGCTAATAAACTTGAAATTAAAGAGGACTGAGGTGACTGCATAGAATGGCTGTTAAACAGAATGAAAGAGAAAAGCCTAGAGGAGGAAAATGACCTGGGAGTTAAGGGTCCCATATTATTCTCAAAGGATTGGAGCCTATGACCACCCCACCACCCTTTTCAGAATGTAGATTGTGCCCTTGGGACTAATCTGTTGATGTCGAGTCCCTTCTAACTCATGACAAGCACGTGTTACAGAGTAGAACTGCTCCATAGAGTTTTCTTCGCTGTAATACAGCAGATGTTACAGATTGAACTGTGTCCCCCAAAAATACGTGTTACAAATCCTAACCTCTGCCTGTGGTTATAATCCCATTTGTGAATGGGTTGTGTTTGTTATGTTAATGAGGCAGGATTAGGTTATGCCAGTGAGGATTAGGCTATGTTTATTATGTTAATGAAGCAGGATTAGAGTGTATCTTGAGTCAATCTCTTTTGAGATATAAAAGATTATACAAGCAAGTAGGAGAAGCAGAGATGGAGCAAGAGAGATGCCAAGCCACATGAAGATAGTCCAGCAGCAGAAACTAAAAGAGACAAGGACCTTCCTCCAGAGCTGGCAGAGAGAGAAAGCCTTCCCCTAGAGCTGGCACCCTGAATTCGTACTTCTAGCCTGAGAAAGAGTACCATAAAGTTAAGCTCTTTGGGGCATTTGACATAACTAAAAGAAGGCTGCCTCTAGGCCTGGACTCAAACTCCATTTTGGAAAGCCTGCTCCACTAAGAAGTTAATCTTTGTACAGTCTTAATCATGCAGCCAAGGACATGTTTTCCTCTGTACCTAGGCTACAGAATGTCAGAAGTACATCATGCGAAGCTAGGAGAAGGAAGTATATCAAAACCCTTTGTGTAAGATGTTCTCAAAAGAACCTTGCCCTAAGCAAGTTAATCTTTACCCCCTGTTCGCATAGAATCCATCATATAATCATCTTGTTACTCTCTGCAATTATGCACTGTATATCCAATCCCCTTAGTTCACTTTGTAAACCTATCTTAGCAAAAGCCCCATTTCCAGATACCTTGCCCTCGACTGTCTTACCTCACCAAGCACCAATCAGAATGCTGCTAGCTAGTTACCAAGAAGCTTTAAAACAGCTCATCTGCAACTTGTTCCCAAGGAGACTTAAAACAGAACTGTAAGTCACCAATCCAGAATGCCCACATACTCCTGATAATCAATCCCAGAAAAGCCCCCACTTCAAGTAATCTCGCCTTATACTAATCTAAGTTTATAACTTCTAATCAAAATAATGTACCTAAAGTTCTTTGTTCTCACTCTATAAAAATTTCTTTACAGCTTCACCACCTTGGAGGTCACTTGCACTTAGTGAGAGTTAGTGTTTTCCCTAGCTCGAGCTATCTTTACTTTCAATAAATCTCTTTATTTTTACTTTAACAGAGTACAAGTTTTTTACTCTCAGACACCTCCTAAACTGTGAAAAAATAAATTTCTGTTTGTTAAAGCCGCCCACTTGTGGTATGTCTATTATAACAACACTAGATAACTAAGACAGAATTTGTTACCGGAAGAGTGGGGTGCTGCCCTAACAAATACCTAAAATGTGGAAGCGATTTTGGAATTGGATAATGGGTAGAGGATGGAAGAGTTTTAAGGTGCCTAATAGTAAAAGCCTAGATTGCCTTGAAGAGACTGATGGTAAAATTATGGACGTCAAAGGCAATTCTGGTGAGGGCTCAGAAGGAAGTGAGGAGAGCTATAGAGAAAGTCTCTGTTGTCTTAGAGAATACATATGGCACCAGAAACCATGTTGATAGAAATGTGGACATTAAATGTGCTTCTGGTGAGGCTTTAAAAGAAAATGATGAACATGTGATTGGACAATGAAGGAAGGGTGATTTTTTTTATGCAGTAGCAAAGAACTTGTCTGAATTATGTTCAAATGTTTGGTGGAAGGTAGAACTTGTGATGAACTTGGATATCTGGCTGATGAGATTTCTAAGCAAGATCTTAAAGGGGCCATGTGGTTTCTCCTTGCTGCTTATAGTAGGTGCATTGAAAGAGGCAAAATGGAAATATAACTTAAAGATCTGGAAAATTATGTTCTACAAACTAAGGCCACGTGTCCTAGAATTTTTACCAAGGACATAGCTACACAAACTTTTGTTAAAGAGATTAAGCATGTGACTGAGGGATCTAACCAAGTACCACAGCAGAAAACCATCAGCTTAGACTGAAGGGGACAAAGAATAAAAAGAGAGAATGCTTTCTGCTTCTTTGAATTCCACAGGCAGGAAACAGGCCAAAGGAGCTACATCTGTTGCTTTCCAAGAAAAGAAAAGAACCATACCTGGAGTAGATCAGAGATCAGCAGAACTGTTGGAAGGAACAGAGGAAGCAGAGCTGCCTTGGCCTTAAAGGGTGGGACCATGGCCTCTGGGGTTTTGAAGGGTAGGACCATGGTTTCCTGGATCTCATAGGGTGGGGCCACAGCCTCATAGGTTTCAGAGTTGGATCTTTGCCAGCTTGGTTGTGGAGTGTAGGGCTGCTATTAACAGGGACTGCTGGGGCGAGGGGGTGGGGTCACCACTCAGATGGACTAGGAGAATGGGGCCATCCAAAGCCCAGTGAGCAGAGTTGCTGTCCCAGTGGACCTGGAAGGCAGAGGGCCTGGAGGCCCAGGGCCAAGGGGCTTCCACCCAGAATCCAGAGAGCATGGCCAACACCCAGAGCCTGGAGGGCAGGGCCATAGCCTAGATGGTCTCAGAGAACAGAGGATTACTTTAGATAATGTAAATTGTTTGCTGGTTTTTGGACTTGATTGGTGCCCATTATCCCTTCTTTCTCTCCAATTTCTCCCATTTTTAATGGGAATGTCTACCTTGTGCTCGTTACATCATTGTACTTTAGAAACACATAACTTGTAGTCTAGATTTCAAGGTTCACAGATGAAGAGGAATTTTGTCCCAGGAGGGAATACACCTAAAGCCTCACCTATATTTGATTTGGTGATTCAGAAGATGAGATTTTGGGATGATGTGATGGGTTGAATGTGTTTTGCATGTGGCAAGGACTTGGTGGCACAGTGGTTAAGAGCTCAGCTGCTAACCAAAAAGTCAACAGTTCGTATCCACCAGCTGCTCCTTGGAAACTCCATGGGGCATCTACTCTGTCCTATAGGGTCATTATGAGTTGGAATCCACTCGATGGCAACAAGTTCTTTTTTTTTTTTTGGAAAGGGTGGAACATTATGGATTGAATTGTGTCCCCCCAAAATATGGGTTGTAAATCCTAACATCTGCCTGTGGTTATAATCCCATTTGTGAATAGGTTGTGTTTGTTATGTTAATGAGGCAGGATTAGGTTATGTCAGTGAAGATTAGATTGTTTATTATGTTAATGAGGCAGGATTAGGGTGTATCTTGAGTTAACCTCTTTTGAGATATAAAAGAGATTATACAAGCAAGCAAGAGAATCAGAGATGGGGCAAGAGAGATGCCAAGCCACATGAAGATCACCCAAGAGCAGAAGCTATAAGAGACAAGGACCTTCCTTCAGAGCTGGCAGAGAAAGAAAGCCTCCCGTAGAGCTGCCACACTAAATTCAGACTAGTAGCCTCCTAAACTGTGAGAAAATAAATTTCTGTTTGTTAAAGCCACCCACTTGTGGTATATCTGTTAGAGCAGCACTAAAAGGTTGGCAGTTGGAATCCGTTCAGTGGCTTTTCAGGAGAAAGACCTGGCAATCTGCTCCCATAAAGATTACAGCCTAGAAAACTCTATGGAGCAGTTATACTCTGTCACATGAGGTTGTTATGAGTTGAAATCGACTCAACAGCACCTAACAACAACAATCTTTACAGGAGCAGTTAGCCAGGACTTTCCTCCACAGAGCTACTGGATATGTTCTGTTAACCTTTAGATTAGCAGCCGATCACAAACCACTTGACCAGACTGCTGTTGTTAGTTGCCTTCGAGTCGATTCCAACTCATGGTGACTCCATGGATAGTTGCTATCACATCATGATTCAAAGGACATTTATTTGTGTAGCTTTTGGAAAAAAGGGAATGACTCAAAAATTCAAGGAAGAATGGCATCAAAGGAGTCAGCGGTTACTACCCACTCATGAGATTCAGCAAAGTTCCCTAAGACAGGTTGGCAAAATGGCACTCCACTCTCACAAAACTGCCACTCCAGGTAATAACACCTTTTAGCTTCCAAGTTCGTCTTACAGGCCCCTCATCAACCCTGGCATCATTCCCAGTAGGGGGTGAAGAGCAGTGATCATTGGTCCCATTTGAGAAATTATTTATAGCAGGAAGTGGTTGCCTTAAGATGTGTCAGGGCAGAAGCAGGAAGAGAATTATGGTTTCCCGGTTCGTAGTTCAGTTACTCCATTGTCCTTTGAATGCAAACACTCCAGGAAGAAAGCAAATTCTAGTCCGTGTGGTTGTGGAACAGGATTGAGGAGTCAGGGATCCTGGCTCACTGGTTAGTACTCTGTTTCCCTTCATCCCTCTGGCACATACTGCCAGGATTCCATTCCCCAACCATCTCTACCACTCAAATCAGCTCTCACCATCTCAGAATGAGGAGAAGGGGATAGTAGGGCACTGAGGAAAGAAATGTCAGATCGGATTAAAGGGGAGCGATGGCATTCCGCCTCATCCCTGCCCACCATTTCCCCAGTACATGGCTAAGAGTCTTCAACTCCACTGGATTTCTGAGGCCACAACAGGTAGACAAGAGGCTCGGGGACTGGAGAAATGGGCAGGTTATTCATTCAGGGATAGGGTGAAGAGAG